TTCCTTGTAGAGAAGAAGAGGGAAATAATGCAGATGACAAAAGTTTTGTGTACGGTTGTTCCTTTTGGGGAAGAAGAGGGAAAATAATACAGATGATAAAAGTTTTGTGTACGGTTGTTCCTTTTCGAGAAGAAGAGGGAAATAATGCAGATGACAAAAGTTTTGTGTACGGTTGTTCCTTTTGGGGAAGAAGAGGTAAAATAATACAGATGATAAAAGTTTCGTGTACGGTTGTTCCTTCTGGATAGGAAGAGGTAAAATAATACAGATAATAAAAGTTTTGTGTACGTTTTTTTTTTCTATTAGACCCCAAGTAGATAAAATTCCTGGTGACAAAAGTTCTTTGTACAGATGCTGCTCACGTACAATAATACAGACGATAAAGGTTTTGTGTACGGTCGTTAGCGCTGCTAACGTACAATAATACAAGGGAAATTTCTTTTGTTTTATTTTTAACACGACATAACTTTTAACGAAACATTTTTTGGGGAAAAAGACAATGATGCAGTAAACAAGAAAAATAATGTGTATAAAAGACGTAAAATTTTAAGCAAGCATTTCACCTTATAGAATTAAAAAAATGGGAAGAAAGTGAATGACATGGAGAAAATTTTGTGTTTCTTCAGTTTGAATTGCTGAAATGAGTATTTTGCTAACTTCACCATAACTTTATCGTTGTCTGGAGAGGTAAGTATAAAATACGATGAAATTGGATGACGCTATTTTTGTCGTAATTAACTTCTGGCAGGAAATTATGTAACGTTTAATAGAAACAGTTAAAGAAAGATTCAATTTATCTGATCATCTGTTGGTGTGAGTATAAGTAAACTTGGAATGGCAGGTGGCCCTCCTAGTAGATCTGGGCAAAGCCATAGGTCATACAAGCCCTAAGCCAAACAAGATGGCGGGCCGCAGCCATATTGGATGACATCACTTCCACCAAAATGGCGACACCGTGGACGCAGCCATATTGGATGATATCACTTCCACCAAAATGGCCACACCGTAAACGCAGCCATATTGGATGACATCACTTCCACCAAAATGGCCACACCGTGGACGCAGCCATATTGGATGACGCTATTGTTGTCGTAATTAACTTCTGGCAGTGTTGGGTGACTTATCATTATTAATTATTATATGACATTGTTTAATAACGTTATCATTAATTATCCATACCCACATTTCATTATTATTAATCACTTACCACCTGGATTTATAACACCATTAGTAGTTGTGTAATCCAGACAGTAGCTTTCAAGTGTACACTTGTAATTGGCCGATCAGACATACAGAAAGACGTCTTTTCAGGTGGAATTTTCATAGTTCATCTTTGGTATTCATCCTGAGACCCATCATAGAATAGTGTTATAAAGAGAGAGTCAACAATGGTGTTCCTGCCTAAGTAAATTTATGAATACAGAAGCTAGTAAATATGTATTCTTCCCTGATAATTTGGACTAAACTTTCTTCTCGTTTCTTTTGGCTCACGATTTTAACAAGATCGATCTCATGAACGAGGTTGTTAAATTCTTTCAGTCTAAGGGATCCTTTATGTTTTCATGGAGTTTCAAATTTGATATCTTACACGTTCAGGTTCCTTTTTTTGTAGAGAACGTGGCCATGTTAATAACTTATGAAAAGCTTAAAAAAGAAACAACTGATTTAATATCTCTCGATCCTAAAATGGATTCTCACACTTGGCAACAAATAGGCAGAGATTTCATTTAAATAGATTACCTTGGACTACGACCGAGATGCTGGTGGTTTACTAGGGTATTGTGGTACCTGAAATAGTACTTTATCCTCACTATCTGAAGATAGTCTTGATAGTATTAGCATCTGTGGTCCTTCTCGATGCTAACTACTATATTCCTAACTTCTCGACAATCACTGCTCTACAATTGCTTCCATGTCTGCTTCTCTTGATCGCAACCATGACTGTCACTCTTGTCACGTTGGGTAGAGAAGGACACAGACATGCCTAGGCTTGTACCAGAAGAATGTTGCCTGGACTTGTACCAGAAGAATGTTTCATGATTATGATTACCGATGACTGGTCAGATACGAAAGTGCACTTAAAAGTCTGGTGTCTGGACATGATCTACTGTCCAAGAGAGCATTAAGACCAATGGTTTAAAACATGCTGTAGAACCGGATGGTATTGATAATGTATATAATTAGATACTTGTCTGGATTTATTTCAGTGAAGGAATAGTTCTAGAACCAGAGGTTAAGAGGGAACACACGGTTAGTACTAATAAAGTATACACGAATGGACATGTTACCTCAAAACCGATAGTCAGGTTATCCTGGTCATTAAGAAACATCCTGAGATAATTCAAGCATCTATAGCCAGGTTATCCTTGTCTTTATAGTACATTTTATGACTGTACATACATTGATAGTCAGGTTATCCTTATCTTTAAGGAGTATAATGAAGTTTATGTATTGAAAGCCTAGTTTTCCCTGTCAGTAAAACATCTCGAGCCAGTAGCCAGGTTATTTTTGTTAGGATAAGACCTTCAATAATCTGGTTATTATAGCAACTGAAGAAAAAAACAACAAAAAGACTTTTCATGGACTACATATCCCACTAACAATGAATTCTTTCGTTAATAAATAACGATTTTTGGGAGTACCTTTATCCACAGACATTTGGATCTGGTTCGTAAAAGGTATCTTCCTATCCTTTAGAAATAACGATAATCGATGCCATTTGAGTATCCTTGAAAATCATTGAAAACAACAACAACAACAACCAGAAACCAGAGAAGGTATGTCTTCTTTGTTTAAGGGTGTATTTGAAAAAAACTATTGTTTTAACTTGCTAATATCCCAAATGTTTATGGTACATTGTGTATATAATTACTAGAAATAAGTCGTTTTATAGATATGATAATGACTCACAATGTTTGTAGTCATCTGTTGAATTATGTTTGTGTTTTCCTCTTCGTCATCAGTTAAGGAAAAGAAGGTTGTTAACATTATGTTATTAATATTCCGTTTATTAATTCCTAACCTTTATATATATAAATATTTCACACAGCTACATATTCACACATTAAATCTATCAAACGAACAATGAACTTACTTCTTTCTTGGCAATCTTGAATTCTGGAGCTGTTATCCCCAAGTCAGGTTCTGCAGGAGGCAATTGGTCCTTTTCTGCTTCACGCTTCGAAAATTCAGTTAAGTTTTATAAATAAAACATACTTAGATGCATATCATCTGAACACTAAAGCATACAGTATTCGTTCATACAGTCTTTAAAGTAAAGAGCGGAACATTTCATTTGATTATTTTAAGAAAATATCAATTCTTCACTTTCGAAATAATCTTTTAAAAGAGTTCTGTCATCTATCGCACCAAAATTGAAATGTTAAACAAATAAATGGTAACACATCAATTTCAATTTCAAATGCGAAATAGGCCTAACAAACCAATCTATTAGCTTAGTGATTGGTCAATTTTGTAAAAAAAACAAAACAAAAAAAAACAACAGTTTTGAGGACTGTATCTTGATGAATCAACAACTCTGTCAGGCAACCCTAATGCTAGAGACCCAACTAACATGATGTTCATTTCAAATTTTTCGGCGCCCCCCAGTGGCACAGCGGTATGTCTGCGGACTTACAACGCTAGAAACCGGGTTTCGATACCCGTGGTGGGCAGAGCACAGATAGCCCTTGTGTAGCTTTGTGCATAATTAAAAACAAACAAACAAACAATCAACTTTTCGGCTTGGTTTTTCTCTCCTAATATTGGATTTGGTGACTACTTCGTTTTAATATGTATCTTACTAGTCCGTAGGTAACATTCACACCTATACTTACAAGGAGGTCGTTAGGAAAATCTCTGCTTGTAATGTCTAGAGCTTCAACAATACTGCTTTCACGAACTCCACGATCTCCTATCCACAGTTTAAATACAATTCAAATAGAAACAGGGAATTCCGCCTCAATCTATGTTATAGAGTGGCCATCACTAAAGGAAACTTTGATTTCTGCATGATCTTCGTCTGACATTTCTGTCTTAGGAACCATCCGTGCATTCACCACACTACTAATAGGAATAGTACGATTGTCTGTACTTTTATAGGCATTGTGTTTGGTTGGATCGTAGTGTAAAATCAACACGTGATTGTACTCTGGTGCATTTCATTTTCATGCAATGGAGGTTGGAACAATTCTATAATATTTGTATTTTTAAAACGTTTTATCCACTGTTTTCATTACTATTTCCAATGGTGTCAAGAATGTAAAAAACTTGCTCTGGTTTCGAACCTTTGATTCCGATTATACATGAACAAGGTATGTCTGCGGACTTACAACGCTAGAATCCGGGTTTTGATACCCGTGGTGGGCAGAGCACAGATAGCCCATTGTGTAGCTTTGTGCTTAATTACAAACAAACAATTATAGTAACCCCGAGACGAGGAGTTTTGAATTTCTTAAATGCATAAACAAGTCTTTGTTTATCTATTGCTAATATTTTATTTAACTTTCCAATATTAGTTACTAAGATGCGTTAATTTTTCAATTTGTCGAAAAATGACAATTATTTAAGAACGTCTATTTGTGGGTCCTAATTAATGGTTCTTTCACCAGAGGACTCTGGAATATTGGTAAAACCATGAGAATTTTGTTTTGTTATATTATCATTTCTTTCGCCTTGTTTGCTGTAGCGGGAGTGAAACCCCAATTCTATAACTATAAGCTTTAGAGGCTACTGCTAAGTCATGGATATACAAAATGTCATTCGTCATTTACAGGCACTTTATTTGTTTTGAAGTGCGAGAAGATGGATTAATCTGGAATCAGCACCTCAACTCTCCAGATGAGAAAGAAAGAAAGGTTTTGTCATCATCATCATTTGCTGTTATGTTAAACTTATATTAAAGTTTTTCTTCATTACACATTCAAGCCGTCTCCAGCCATTATTAGTCTCAAAGTGGGTTCCTCGTCACCGAATTTGAAAAACCTGTTACGATTTTGCCCGTACTGACTAAAAAGACATATGCTTATCTGAAGATTGTCCTTGAGGTTTTAATAAGGATTTTTTTTTTCACTCTAATGTACGAGTTAAAGACTTTATCAATGTGATCACGTGGCTTATTAAATTACGGTTTTGGATAAGATAAGAAATGTAGTTAGTACGTTCTCCGATAGGGATTGATATATAACATTCACTAGTTCAGCTTTACTGGTAGATGATTAAAGGGATCCTAATGCACAAACTTCATTTTAAACTACAGAAACTTTCTAGAATAATGAAGCACTCAGTATAATTAGGCTTCGCTAGATGCGTTAGTGCTTTACTTACGTAAAACAGCTCGTTTGTTATGAATTTCGCTGCCTTCCCTCTAGTCTTACACTGTTAAATTAGGGACGGCTAGCGCAGATAGCCTTCGTGTAGCTTTGCGCGAAATTAAAAAAACAAAACAAACAACTGTTGCTTCAAATATATATATATTTTTTTTACATCTTGTATGAAATGTTTGTCACATCGATTATCTGAGAGCGATTCAATCAGACTCTCTGTCTGTAAATGAAGACAGCTTTCAGGGGTCATTATATTATAAGTGATTGAACTTTTATTAACTATGATGAAAATGTTCTGTTACGTCTCCATTTGTTAAATAACTTTCCGTAACTTCGTTCCGACGAAACTTAAGTGACACAAGTCCTTTCCTAATAAAACTGGTTTATTCTTTCCAAATATAACTTTACCGATACACTCAACTTCAACAATCGCGCTAAAACAAACGCTATAACAACGAACGTTAACTTCAACAATACCCTGTGACTGCAGATCAATTACTCACTACCTACTCATTCATTATTCTGTCACGT